TACTCCCCCACCCCCCTCGACCCCCATCATCATCATTACTGTACTGCTATTGACATGCATGCGCCGCTCGCACCCAGGAGAAAAGGGACGTGTGCACTTGTGTGTGTCTGTGTTTTTCTATGTGGGGGAGTGGATGTGTGTGGGCGCTTTTGCGTATGTTTGTGTGTCCAAATGCATGTGTGTGTGTGTGTGTGTGTGTGTGTGTGTGTGTGTGTGATAGTAATCAATAGTGTGACTCATTCTTTCTGCGGTGGCTACTTCCGAACAGCATTCATTAGCACAAACGCAATCTTTGGGCCCGATAATCACATCCTGCCAGGCTCCGTCGTCTTCTCTGGTTGGCCTCAAACCAGGAAATGAAGATAAGCTGCTCATCATGAAAACAGCACGGCAGCGAACCGCTCGCATGTTCACACCCGCCAAATTGACACTTCTTATTTGGGGCGAGGCCACTGGACCGCCGTTCGTCCGCCGTTTCAACGCGATGGCCATGAGCTAGCCGGTAACATTGCAGAATACTAAAATGCCGCGAATCAATGTTTTGCCTTTTTTTTTTCTTCCCGTGATGTGATTCGACGCCAGGTCATCGGCCGCTTCAACGTGACCCCGATGAGCACGCAGATTGGGAAGCCAGGTGGGCGTTCAAGTTTCGCGATCCACTTCCTCCGTGACAACTGTGCCATGTTTTTATGGTTCGATAAGAGAGACTACAGGAAAGTAGATTTCGAAACCTGATACAGGGCTGCAGTTTTTCCATTGCGGCGTGTTGGTAAATGGGTGCTACTCAGTCACTTGGGTGAGTGGTGAAGAGCTGCCGGCTATAAAGTTGCTTTCTACGGATGTCTTTGTATATATCCGTAGGTGGTGGACGTGTGGATTTGTATGTGCAAATGCGTGTGTATATTAAAGTGGGTGTATTTGAATGTGTAATTTGTTTGTGTGCGTGCATGTATATTGGTGTGTGTATTTCCATGTGTGTGTGTGGGGGGGGGTGTCTGGCTGTTTGCATCTATTTGTGTGTATTTCGTGCACATACGCAGCGTATGCTTGTTTGTATTGTGGTGTTTGTGTGTCCATGAGTGTATTGAAGGTGTGAGCGTGTGTATGTTCTGTGAACGTGTATTAGTGTCCGTGCAGTAGTGTATCTATTTGGATGCAAATGTGTGTGTGTGTGTGTGTGCGTGTGTGTGTGTGTGTGTGTGTGTGCGCGCGCGCGCGCGCGAGGGAGCGTGTATTTTCGTGGGTTTGGAGCCCCTTTCGTGTTCGTGTGTCGGTTAGGACGCATGTCGGTTGTCGAGGCGTTGGTGTGTCTGCTTGGGTTTTAGTGTGCGCGTGACTGCGTCCGACCGCTTCTCCGGGTTTGTGCGCGCGCCCCGCGTCCCATTCCACAGCGACCATCACCGATTATCGAACACAAATTCTTCCGTCTGGTTGATGGCTGACGTCACGCTCGACCCCTTCATCGATCCACGAATCGGACGGCTGCGCTCACCTGAGGCTCGGCCGGCCGGTGACGGTCAATCCCCGGTCGTCTTCTCTCCGCCGCGGCGGCGGCGGTGGCGCGGCATGACGGCTCGCCGACGAAAAGGTTCGAGGCCCGGGGGGGATGTGACGCTTTTCCGTCGTGCTTCCTCCTCTTCCTTCACAGGGCGTCGCATGTCCCCTCGGTACGCTCCATCTCCCGCTCCGGCGTGTCGTCGTCTGACTCTTGTTGTTGTCCGTCGGTCCGTCCCTCCGCGATGTGGCTTTCAGGCCGGCGTCGACATCACAGCACAGGTGAAACGGAGGAAACGGCGACCTCCGGCGTGACAGCGAGTCACTGCAAGCACATTCACCTGGGCCCCAAGCAGGCTCGTTTTCCACGCTTCCCTCCTCCAACACACCTGTTGCATCAAGGACAGGTTCTGGGCCCCTTTGGGTTTGCCTGCAAAGATCAGCTCTGACCGGCGTCTTCGTGGCCAATGGAATTTGCAGATGAGAACCGAAAAAGGCTGACGGATGCACAGGAGTAGCTTTCTTTCCATTATCGCAATACAATCCGTATTTTTTTTTTCTTTCTATAGAGAGGTGTAGAGTTGATCCTTGCAAACTTAGATTTTGGCACCTGCGGATTCGCATAAAAGCAGATTTTCCTTTCCAACAATTTTGAAGATTTTCCAATAGTTTTGCAAGGTTGTGTCTTTTCTTCAGGATTTTGCCCCCATTTTATAACAGATTCTTTTTCTTGAGGAAAACACACTAAATGGTTATTCGGGTTTCTTTGAAGATTTTTCCCCCCCCAATGCATTTCAATGGCCATCAATAATATGCGTCTTTTTCATATTAGCGGGCCGGCTCAGTCTTTTATCCCCTGCAAATAGCAGGATTCGACTGGATCACACATTGTTTTGCTGATTTGTCCATGAACTTGCAATCACCGTATCGCGATTTTTTGGGGTGTGCATGCAAAATTTCTATGCATTTCCCCTTTCTCAGTTGCATAGATTTGGCATATCATGACACGAGAGTTACTCTGAAGTGGAGGAAGACACTTAGAATAGAAAATAAACTGAATTTATTGTGCAATGAGGCTCATATTAATTAATAGTTGCCAAGGACAATTTGGATAGGCATAAAAAAGGGTGAGTGTAGAGATGATTGTGCTGGCTCTGGCCCTGCTATAAAAAAACCAACAAAAATAATCATGTGTTTGGGGGTAAAAAAAAAAAAAAAGTCGGAATGTCAAGTAACACAAAAGTATTTCATTCAATGTAAATGATGTAAACAAGAGCATGACGAAATTATTGCGACTGTGTGAAACAGCCTTGATCAGAAATATATATACACGTCCTTTAAAAAAAAAAAAAAAAACTACAAATCTGTGTGGTACTAAAAATATAGACTTCCAGAAAAGAGGTATAAAAAGTATCCCTGAGTGATAGGTTAAAAAGATGCTAGCATGGCTAACATTAGCATGCTGCTATGCTAGGCTGGCAGAGGAGCGCAGAACATGGAACCTCTTGAGCGTCATGCGGATTGACCCAAGGTCTCGGTTGAGACGCTCCAGACGCTCCTCTAAGGCCACCTGAGACACACGCACGCACACGCACGCACGCACGCACGCACGCACGCACGCACGCACGCACACACACACA